ACACATAGACGGCTCAAGTAAGTGCTCATATAGCTACATTTATTTAGTAATGTGGGATTCACTCATATGTAGAGTGTGTGTGACAGGAAATCACTTACCCTCACACTAGCTTGCTGCAAAGGATGTGACATTACACTCAATTACTCTCACCTGAGACGCAGACACATGTAGAAACTTTTCCTTCCTGTGACTGAAATGCACAGCGTTTCCGAGCTGCTGTATTCTTGGTAATCTAGTAGCTGAACACAATATATTTTTTTCTTCTTCTAATGCAACACTTGATGTGCTGCTTTAAGAACATGCAGCACATTGGCCTTAGCTGCCATGCAATGTTTGAATGTGCTTGCTCATAGGGGGTCATGTGATTGTTGGGTTTTTCTCTGTATCTATGAAGTGCCTTGAGGCGACTTTTGTTGTGATTTGGCGCTATATAAATAAAATTGAATTGAATTGAATGACTTATACAAAAGCAACTAGACATGGCATAATATCTTTTCCTTATTTTCTATCATACTGTTAGATTGGTGGAGACTCATTTTAAACACGGCCAATATTTCAAAGGAGTTTAATCTATGTACAATTAATCCTAGTGAGTCAGATGCTTATGATTCACACTGCTCTACTCAGAGGAGAGATCCTACTTTGGTCTTCTCAGGCACACAGCCAATCAAATATTGATATGAAGTGTACGAAGCTGTAGAGGTTGCTTCCCAAATATGAAATGAATAAGGATCATTTTGACCTGTGTATCATGCATAGCTAACGGTTCAAGAACAAAAGTGGACACACAAATGTGCGTTCACTCTCTGGTTATTGAGTTTGAAGTTTGAACCTGCTGAACTTCAGTGTGCACCAGCAGGCATGCCCATGTTTACTGTTTATAGTAATGCCCTACTGGAGCTAGCAAAAATATAGCTGATCGAGTGACCGAGTGAAAAGCTTTTATAGGTGTTTCTACTTCTTTATGGAAACACATCTCAACCAGGGATCTTAAAAAAGGGCAAAGGGGGTGTCTGAGTTTTGTGCAAAGTTAGCAAATTCTACAAGAAACGTGCCGTCAGCTTGACACAAACAGTATCAGATCTCCTTTATAGGCCAAGGTCAGTGAATTCTCCATTTGTCATTGGCCCTGTCCAGTATATGATACTGATAACCTGTGTACCCTAGCTGATGTGTATTTAGAATCAAGTTTCCAAGTTCTTATTTGTAATCCAGAGGCCCTGTCTCAACACATGCATGTCAAATTTATTTTCATTCCTGTTCCCTCTGACTAACACTCTGCTGTGTAAGTCACAACTGTACAGCTTTGCCATTAGGACAACGTGCAGATATTTGGAGACTCCATCCAGGTGTGGCAGAATGAGTTGTGTTACTGGCAGAAGAGTGAAATAATTAATTCAGATGAATTGTTATCCTTGTAAATTAAATTCACATGTTCAGAAGTCTAAATTACCAATTAGTGATTTTTAATTGATGATTAAACTAGTTTTCTGGAACACAGGGGGAAAAACATTACATCAACACTGCATGAAAAGTCAACTGTGCTTGAGACAGATGAGCTTAAATGTGCTTATTTTATATATAGTTATAGAAATATATAGATATAATTTCAGAAGAGAAGGAGACTTGGATTGTAAACAAACATGTTACTGTCTGTAAAGTCATTCGGGTGTTAGCAGCTCTCCTCCCTGCAATCCAGTCACTTAATACTAAAAACCAACTGACCAAGACTAACAGATTTCCTGCTTTACAGCAGCGGTCCCCAACCTTTTTTGCGCCACGGACCGGTTTATGCCCGACAATATTTTCATGGACCGTCCTTTAAGGTGTCGCGGATAAATACAACAAAATAAAACTAGTACTGGTACCGAAAAAGAAAATTTATTCATAACACACGTGAAAAGACCAAGGAAAACAGAGTAAACGATAAAAACGATAACAAAACGCTGAAAACCGATTTTAAAAACCCTGAAAACCATACATTTCACACCTGAGCCTCAACTCTCGCGGCCCGGGGGTTGGGGACCGCTGCTTTACAGGACAGATATAGTATTTTTGTCACTGGCGACCGGCACTTTGTCAGAAATGGCTCCAGGTGAAGCAGTGAAAATGTTCTCAATATAAAGTTAAACTCTTGTTGACGAAACTACCACTAGTTTAAGTCTTGGATACCTTTGCATTTTGCCGTAATAAGCTCTTTGTTCGTACAGGCAGCTTGTTTACGGCTCATAGGTATGGAGGAAAGGACTCTAATGCTATTTACACAACAAGAGTGGATGCTCCCAGCTGGCATCTTGGAGATTTGCAACAGAAAGGCTCAAGGCTTTAAGGAGAGCTTTTTCACTGTAGTGCTGTGTCATGCTAATGTCACAATGTTACTTAGTGAATGGCTTTAGTTTATAAGGGTATTGTCACCCAAAAAGCAGACATTAAAGAGTATGCAAAGAGACTTTGAGGAACCACATCTGGTTACAAATAACTTGTGCTTGTTAGTCTCAAACGTTAACTTTTAGATTCTTGAAACTTTTCAAACAAAAAAAGTCTTGGATTAGTTTAAAAGTATCACTTTGACTTCTGTGTTTTAGCAGAGAACGTGGTAGTTTTTACAGCATTCAGAGTTTCTGGCAATAGCAGATGGTGGGAGCAGTGAAAGGATGTTGGACCAATCAGTTCTAACAGTTTTATCCTCTCGAGTAAAGCTGAAGAGAAAACATCTGCCTGGTGACAGGAAGCAGCAGGCTTTATGTGAAGTGTGGTCATATTTTTGACAAAACAGTAGCAGAAGTGCTGCTTCTCTGCCATGCAGACTGCACCAAATGTAGGCCCAGCTCTGTGATAGGCACGTGAGCCAGTCCAGGATGCACCCCATGCTGTGATAGACCTCAGCAGGCTGTATACTCAGACCTAGTTAGCCCGCAGTGAGAGGTGCTTCACTAAATCTGACGATTTGGAATGTCAGTTGCCTAATTTGATTATTTGTGTGGGCACGAGGAGTTTTACAGCGCCAAATATTTATTAAGAAGGAAAACTTGCTAATGCTTGTGTGCTACTTTACGTGAGTGGAAATAATGACACGTTTTATCCCCGATACCTGCCGAGCTCTATAATGAACCAATATGTGGGAGGGAGGAGTGGAGGAGGATAGAAATGGGGCGAAGGAGTTTGGGGGGGTGGGGAACTCTGTCGCGGTATAAGTTGGCTTGGCTGTTGGTTTTTGCAGCGCATAGAAGCAACAAGCAAACCTCCCCCAGTCCTCTCTATCTCCACTACACACACACACACTTCAAGCATGCTCAGATCCACCTACCTCCATCCTCTCACTCACACTCACTCGCTTGTTACATTGGCCTCTAAGCTTCTCAGATTCCTAATTTTATCACACAAATAATGCTGAGTTCTTAGCAATAAGTTTCCCGTAAGCATTATAATCTAGCTTTTTATACAGAGGGAAAGGGAAGCCCACAGGTAGCAGGTGGCTAATTCCCGTACCTTCAAACATCTGCCATGACTGACTGGTTAGTTAGCCAGCTGAATGAGTTGCTGACTGAAAAGCTAACCACTGACTGACTGGTGTATGGGCAGGCTCTGTGGCCTGTTGGCTTGCTGTTTTCTGGCTGGCTGGATGGCAGCTGCTGCTGTTCAAACAGAGCTGCATCTGCTGGGTCCTTTGTTCTAACACACACACACACACACACACACACACACACACACAC